AGGTATGGTGTAAGACCACTCCCAAGATTATCAGCTTCATAAGGAGTAGCAGAGCATGGGGAATAGGGAACAACAGAATTGTTATTATCTGAAGTATTAGGGCTTCTCTGGGCTCGTTTTTTTGACAGTCGACCCATATCGCTTTAAGTATAAATTCTAAAGCTATTTATGAGTTATTAACTAGGATTCAACAGTATTCAAACAATATATATTAGATACCGTGTTATCGTAGCGCAAATTTCAAACGTACCGCAAAGGCGTCGTTTGGGGATTTGTGCGTCGTTTTATGTGTACATCCTTTTGATTCATGAACAGGAAATTCAACGTTATTTCCTGAGCCATAACAAACTATTATCACTCATTCATTAACAACTCGTTTTTATCCATCGTCTCTTTTTTATCACCTATAAATTTACTTCCTATCCTTTTTATGATTTCATCTTCAACATATAGATACTAATCAGTCTTAACTATTATGCTAAATATGTTGTTTTCTCTTGTTTCTTAATTCGTTTTGAATTGAACTTCGTTGACTGCGGCCATTTGCAGCTGATGAGAAGCCGTGAAATATAATGAATTCATTACGTTTTGCGAATATTTCTCCCCTTGCGTTATATGAATTTATCAAGCGATCAGGATGTATGAGATAATAAGTTAGTAGGTGTCATTACCAAAGTTTGATTTGATAATTTCGAATAAATTGAGCATTGGGTTTATTGTTATAAATAAAAATAATATATTTGTAATATCCCAATGAGTAGAAAATTGGATTTTCTGACGTTTCGTGACTTAGTGTAAGTCACTTTTTCAGAGAATAAATAACCAAATTAAAATTAATCCAAGTTTAAATAGTACAACGGAACAATTCAAGAATATTGTGATCAATCAAAAACAGGTCTAAACAAGCTGATGTCATGTCATTTCTGTCAAGGTGATTCATAAGCTTTTAATCCCGACCGAATTACAACCCACGATATCCAACCTGTTTATAGAAAGAGAACGCCACTATTTAAGTTCATCGAAACACCGAGAAATTAAAAAATTCTAAAACATTAAAGAAAAGAAGAAAGATAAGAAAACATCAACAATAAAATACAATTCGAATGATCTAAGAAGAACTGTTCATAATCTTTATAACAGAAACTTAAACAGTCACGAACTCTACTAAAGAAGGGATTAAATTTCAATTTACACAGAAAACCACTTAGCACTCTTGAAATTGCTCCAATTATAGAACTAATGATCGCACAACTACCGGAAAAAGAGTCGCATTTACTACGTCAAAAGACATCCCATATTCTAACTAAACAAAAACACATTACACCAAACATTTCAAAAGAAGAATTGAAGGCTCTGCATTCACTTAAAAAAGACAAAACGATTATCATCACAAAAGCCGACAAAGGCAACACAACAGTAATCATGAATAAAACAGATTATATTAATAAAGCTCTTGAACATCTCTCAACAGGACCTTATGAAAAGATCAATCCAAAAACTTCTCTAACGATTAAGAATAAAGTCAAATTAGAAAAACTTCTGAACGAGCTAAAACCAATCATTGGGGTCTCGCTTTGGTTTGCATTGCATCCCAAATCATGTAATGTCTCACGGTTTTATGGCTTACCAAAAATTCATAAACCAGATATTCCTCTAAGACCGATAGTAGACTTCACAAACACCCCAACATATGCATTATCGAAATATTTAAGCAATATATTAAAACCACTACAACTCAACTTACATAATATAATTAAAGACACATATGACTTTAAATCAAAATTATCCGGATTAATCATCGAGAAGAATGAAATCATGGTAAGCTTTGATGTCGTTTCTTTATACACAAGTGTTCCCATTGATAAATGCTTAGAATTCATTAGTGGTTTACTTGAGAACGACAATACTCTTCCTGACAGATGTCCGTTGAGCATCAGTCTAATCATGAAATCCTTAAAACTTTGCTTAAATTCAACGCTATTTACTTTTAACGGTATGTTATTCAAACAAACTAACGGTGTAGCGATGGGATCCCCCGTGTCCCCGATTGTAGCCAACCTTTTTATGGCATACATAGAATCAAATATCTTCGCCCACAACATTATACCACGAATTTGGCTTAGATATGTAGACGATACATTTGTTGTTATAAAAAAGACTCATCTAAGATCTTTTTCAAAACGAATAAATACACTTTCATCGCACATCAAATTCACGAAAATGAAAATGTACATGGTGAGCTACCATTCTTGGATTGCTTAGTAAAAAGAAATCCAAATGGAAGTCTAAACCTATCCATTTACCGAAAACCGACGCATTCAAATCGTTATATTGACTTCCTTTCAGTGCAAAGATCTCGCTAGCCTTAAATCTTTTTAGAAGAGCTAACAAGATCATCACATCAGAGGAAGACAAACAAAAAGAACAAATGAATATAATTAGCATCTTACAATTTAATAATTTTCCTATGAAGATTATTAGAAGCATATTAAAACAAAACAGTTTATTACATTATAATAATGATTCGAATGAAATGCCATGGATTGGTACTGTAGTCCTACCATACCGTCATGGCACAACAGAAGAAATTCAAAGAATCTTAAAACATCACAGAATTAAAGTGTATTACAAAACAACGAACACACTACGTAATACTTTAGTTCGCCTGAAAGAAAAAATCCCTTTCATGTCCACACAGAACTGCGTCTACAAATTAGGTTGTATCGATTGTGATGCCTATTATATTGGAGAGTCATCCCGCGAAATCTTGACTAGAGCCAAAGAACATATTAGGTACACAAAGAAACCTCCTAACAATCCTGTAGAATTGAACCAACTTCAAATTAAATCGGCAATAGCAGTTCATGCCATTTTCAACAACCACCAAATCGATTTTAAAAATATCAAAATATTGCAAAAAGGCTTTTCCAACTACAAAGAAAGGAGGGTAGCTGAGGCGTTCCATATAATGCTTAATCCTACTTCTCTCAATAGAAAGAAGGCCTTACCATACATCCTACTTGGACCATCTATCCTAACCATTCAGTCTGATCGTATTTACAATTTCACACTATCATATTACAAATTTAAACTCTATCCTTTCTTACCATAAGGTCACACAGTTTTCATTCTTAAACAATGCACATATACATACACAAATCACTTATGAATCACCTTGACAGAAATGACATGACATCAACTTGTTCAGACCTGTTTTTGATTGATCAAATATTATTCTTGCATTGTTCCGTTGTACTATTTAAACTTGGATTAATTTTAATTTGGTTATTTATTCTCTGAAGAAGTGACTTACACTAAGTCACGAAACGTCAGAAAATCCAATTTTCTACTCATTGGGATATTACAAATATATTTTTATTTAAGATAATAAGTTCAGACTTTACAAACGATTTTAATTAATACTGCATAACCGTTAGGAAAACAGTACGGTCTTTTCTCCTACAATGTTCTCTCTAATGACCTCTTACGTCAAACCAGTTTGTTCATGTTTCAATGCTTTAAGTGATTTTATTTCAGATTTACCTTACCATTTCATGCAATCCATTTCCGTTAATCCATTAATCTATGGATAATCCCTATGAGAATCGTGACCAATGCCGTTTTAAAGATTCTACGGAAGATTTGAAGATAGTTTATGATGTACCAGCCTCATATTATTCACTTGAACCATATACCTATGCGAGTATGTGGTAATTTAAACAGGTATAAGACACGAAATTAATCTGGCAATCATATACGTTATGTATTTTAATCCCATTAATTATCTCGTACTTATTCACATGATCAATTATGGGCTTTTATCCGTGTACTCTCTCCAAGAATTAGGCTTATCAATAAGGTTTTAACTGACCTAATAACCAACTTTCTCCAATCGTTTATGACATCATATCGTGTTTATTTTATGATAACATTGTGTGTATAAATATGTCATTTTAGTACATAAAAAGTTTATTATTCTGGCTAGCTGTCCTATCTTTGATTTCAAATGACATTATAGATTATGTTAATTATTCGGTCTCTTAGACAGCCACATCGCATCACTGATTATCATCGATTGATCAGCATTCTTTTCTTTCACTTTAATAATCTTATATTTGCTTGTCATAAAATTTTTATTCATAACAAGTGTTTCTACACGTGTGATTGTATGTTTGCCACTTAACTATCTGGATTATATAAACATACAACAATTCACTCAACGACTGGTCGCTGCGTCAATCCACACACCAAACTGTTGATTGATATATCAATTCGTACAGTACACAATGCACCACACCTCTTTTACCTTTTGGACCTTATACTTTTTGTCTTCTGTTTCTAGTGTGTCCGAAGTACGTCAATTCCCTAAACGTTTCGTATTAAGCTTTTATTATCACATTGTCGAGGAAATTTTGTTATGCAATAAGATTAGTCTAAGAAGCATACGAAATTAACCGAGATATGGAACAGCTGAAAACGGACTCATTTACGTTCTCGTGGCCTGGCGTCAGTTGGGGAACTAAGGAAAAACATGGAGCAATAGACCTCTTTTATGTCCTAGTTTAAGGCTCATTCCGGAATCAAACAGATCTCCCAGTTACTCAGGAAATTCCATTACCTTTAAACCACTGAGCTGCAATCCGATGACCCACACTTGTGATCTTAGTCAGCTCGAATTAAGGATCTACAGTCACTCGATATCATCGGTAGAAAAATACCTCCGATCCGACTTGGTTAAGCTCCACCAGCTATGACTTCAGCTTTTGGTTTAACGATACAAATAATATGACGTTATCACTTATCTGTATTCATTTGTTACTATTTTCTGTAGCTTATTATTGTGGAAATGTTTGTGTTTATGATTATACAGATTCTATAGTAAAACCCTTTAAAATATCTACCTTATATTCTAATCAGTGTTTTATATTTCGATTCAGCAAGTGTACAGTCAAATATATCAAGCACATGCTGTTTTTCCACCATGTTATTTTTTATTCTAGATACTCCCGATATATCCGTGAGTTACGTCCTCGTACTATGTTGCATTCTAGTTGTGCTTATTCTGTGCATTTGGAAACCTCTTTGTGTAAGTTCTTAAGTTCAGTTATTTAGCCATTTCTATTGGTTGTATGTCGACTGTATTATGTTCCTCCACTTCATTAACAATAAGTTCGTTAACTTACTCTATTTGTCTCATGTGATCAATAGGTTACACCTTTTCCCATTTTTTTCAAAACAATTAACAAAAGAAATACTAAGACAAATTGTCACAACTCGGTGCTATTGCATTTGGAATCCACATGAGTACATCTATATTGTACCAAACTATAATATTGAATAAAGCCATTAATAATGATAATAATAAAAAGTAAAATATTGGATCAAAACATAGATCGGAGTATAAAGTTCAACGTCCATATTATCCGAATACTTTATTTACAAAGTTCAGTGAAATCTATGGGGTGTGGCCCCCTAAGAAAACCACCTGCTTCGGTTTGGGCACCCGGGCAGTATCACAGCCCACACACACAAATATGGTGTGGCGCATATATATTTGGTGCCCTCTTGTACCGATATTTATGTGTTGAAATAAATGGTTAACCGGCTGTTATTTCTAACCTGTTAAAAAATCGGAACAATAATCAGTGAATCAAAAGACAGCTTATTATTACGACCATATTAAGATACCATAAAATCATTCTTTTATAGTTATCCAATAAAGATACCTAAACTAAAGCTTTAACCCGTAGTTAAATGCCTCATTATATAAAAGTCTAGGGAATGTATCTAGAATTCTTTACATCTCTAAGTATTTTCACTTGTGTTGTTTTGTGAAGAAATTTGTATAAAGAAACTTTGTTCTTGGTATCTCAGGAATTTTTCAGTTCCAATAATTGAATTAACTTTTATCAGGCATCTGCAGTGGAGCACTGTTAATAATCTATATGCGATTAGACTGGAACATGTCTATTCTATTGTTTTTCACCGGTTACTTTCTCTGTCTAATTTACTTGTTTCTAAAGAATCCCTAAAAACACATCTCATGAAGTAGAATATTCTCTTAATTTAATATGCTACTGAATATACTAACTTCCTTCAGTAACGTAATTCTGTATATGCACATATTGTAACTACCGTGCCTAATTCAGATTTTATTCTCACCCTATCGTCGCGTGTAATTGGGATGTGTATGTATGTGTGCACTTTAGTTTTTGATCCTAATAAAGCTCTACCTTCATTTTCTGTTTTATTTTGCTTTATAATTAGTTTGTCTTAATCTTTTACGGATAAATGACAGTAATGCTGTTTATTCATTATCCGTTAGTTCCGCTATAGTCTAACGGTGTTGTTTATTTTAACTATTTATAAGATTTTCAATTCCTCTAAATGGTTGAACTAATTTTGTTCTGCGTTTTACACAACTGAAAACGTAATATTATTCCAAATGTATTTGTATGTACAGTAACATCTAACGGTAGCCTTTGGAATCCTCACTTTTTAGTTAACGTAAACATCTATTGATTATATTTGATCAATCACTGTACCTGAACCGTACGAATATTCCTTTGCCGATGAAAATTTTTGATCGTCGACCTTGAATTAGAAGGATGAAGCATTCTGTAGACATATATGGTAATGTTTTCTCCAAAGAACACTACTACTGTTGCTGTTGGAATACTGTTTTCCTAAGCACCGAATTTCGATTTAAACAGCCGAGTAATAGTACTACCAGTTTACCACTAAACTCAAAGCTGAGTGTATAAACTTGTGTCTAGTAAATGAATTACACTATTACTAGTTCATTAATTATTTGTCAGAAAACCAGACTAACCATTCTCAAGTCCAGGTAAGCATTTCTGCGAAGTGTAATAAATAAAATTCAGAAAAATTTCGTGTTTGCTTAACAAACCTTAAGCACAAGTAATATTAATCGTTTAATCAGTGTACTATCCATGGGATAAACGAATACAAACAGTAAAACTAAGTGTTTGATAGATATATGTAAAAAAATCGTTTAATAAACTGAAAAAGTAATAGTAAGGTAACACCGGTAAATTTAAAGAGAGTTACCCTCTCCGTGTATAATGATAACTCGAGACCACAAAGTTGAAATCACAAGAATATTATTTTTGCGGACAAGGCGATGTTTTTCTTAGGGCATCTTTAGAATTAACCATAATCGTAATGTCATTAAAATAAGTTATTTCTGTTTTAGTAAACATAAAGATGTTGATATTACCACTTACTTGATTGAATCATAATTCTTAATCCTTTTCCAATGTCGACGATAATATAACAGTTGTATAGTGAATGCTTTTCGGTTCGCAGAACTATTTTACTTTATCCCAGTTAATAATCCATAAATCATTTTGACGCATGATAATTCTTCATAGCGACTTTGTGCATTGACTAATGTACTGTGAATAATAAAGGCTAAACTCATATTACTCGTAATAATGTAATGTTGTTTCAAGTATATTGTTATTCAAAATTAATATGAATTGCCACTTAAACAGTGCTTTTGAGATAAAGCGACTTCGAGTTAAAAAGTGGCATTCTGCTTGCACAATATTTTACATTGGTTATGTATTTTCCATTCTTATCCTGTAATTTCACTCACAAATATATGCAAAAACGTATGGGGTGCAATTTAAAGCTGAGTATGTAGAATTTATAACTTATAACTGGTTTGCCAGACACCTGTTTATCTACATAGTATTTAATTTCATCATAAGAGTTAGAGATACTTCCAGGTTATTGGGACCGAAGTATATGAAATGGGGCGTACACGTTCAATCAGCTGCTGGATATTCGAGTGCTTTAGTCATTAGACAATTACCCCATATCCATCTCCTAGATGACCACACACAAAACGAACTTCATAGATCAAGTTACGGAAAAATTACTCAATACTTCACCGATGTTTAGAGTGTCGACTCTTGAGATATAGCATGCATCAACAGAACTACTTTTCAGAGTTTTAGGCAACAATACCTTTTATTCAACCTGTATTAAATTGCTAACATTGGGAGCGGTAAGCTCGAAGGGCCACCAAACTATATTGTGAATGAAATCGGCATACCATTCAAATTACGTCGACTATTGCAAGCTAAATGTGACACACTTATGTATTAAAGATAAATAGTTAAGTAGTAGAGAGAGCATTGATACATTCGTTTGGTTTCAGTCTGCGATAACTTCGAGTAAGCAGCACTCTACACTCATCACTTTTCGAGGAACCGAGTCAAATTTTTTCAGGTCTTACTCAATGAAGCGTTATCACTGAGTCCCAACCCATCTTTGTAACTTAAATCACGTCGCTAATGAAGTAGTTATCCACTGATAACAGCGGATATTTTTCGCGCTACATAATAATTTGGCCAAATTTGGAGAGATAAACCTCTGAATGTCAACTCAGTAGCCTAAAATGACTGTATTTGCAGCTGAATCTGATACTCCTGAGTTGGATTTCGTATGGAGTGGTTAATGAGCACGACATGAGGCTGTTAATCAACCTAGGAAAAAATAGTTGTCTAACCCTCGATGGTTTTTTAAATGGTATCCTTCGTAATGCAAGTGACATTATTAGATCTAATTCATATTTATAGAGATAATTTTTGTTTCTTTTTTATTGTAATAATTACTCTGCTAATTGAATAAATAATAGTGTTTATTTGTTCATTCTTGAACTGTGTATTTTACATGTTTCAGCATATATTGTACAATATATACGGTGGGTGTTGTTCACGTTCTCGTGTTAGTAGAATTGATCTGAATAGCAAAGTGGCATATCGTCATTTAAATACAGAGGAGTTTTAAATCCGTTGATACTATCATTGGACATATCATATTACTTGTTGCATTGGATATTTATTCGTATATACACGAACAATTTGTTTCTTTTACATGTATGCATCACACTTGTTCTTTTTCTCACTGTTCACAAACATCTCTCACTTAGTTGTTGTTTAGAATTCTTTTATATTCCTCTAAATTATTTTGTATTTGAGTATGATAAATATATCGTAGGTCAAATTTGATAATTTTAATCCTTAATCTTCTTCATCATCAGTGTGTTTTCGATTGTATGCTATTTGAGGTGAATAGCTCTTTTTTATTGGAGAATTTTCATATGACGGATAAATGAAAGCACTAGGTTCCGAATAATCTCAAAACCGAATCATATGATTATAAAAATCCGAGTACATTGTATAATTTATGTAGTGTTCGTAAGTTGTCAATTGACGCTTGATCTACTAATGTGATTTTACTAAAAACGGAGAAATTCAATGTTGTCTTAAATTTCTATATTAATACTTGAGTGATAATTGTACGAACAAGTGTTAATAAGTTTCTTTATTTGCAAAGCTGACGAAACGCTACTACATCGTGAACTTTCAGCAATCTTAAAATATTTATGTTGCCTACTGGCAAATGAGTTAATTTAGAGGTATGGTCAAGAAAATTCCTCTTAAAAAAGTAATAAAGAGTTTATTTCTACATTGCTAACAAATTTATCAATGTTTTTGATCAGTTTTTTTAACTTTAAAATCAAGATTTTCAGCGCTTGATTCTAGGTTAGTTTCTTCATTAACTTTTTATAAAGCCGTAGTTAGTTTTCCAGATGACTACACACTGACTTCGATATATTTGCAAAATTACTCGAAAATTGGGACAACTATCTGAAGGATATATGAGTAGTTTAACACTACAAAAATGCTAACTAATAATATGATTTATTTGAGACTCCTTTATTACCACTTTGCACCAGTACTGTTGAGCGTTCCGCGTGTTTTGGATTTGTATTTCCATTTCTATTCCATCATAACAGCAAGCAAATTCTTATCTATCCTAAGCTTCCCAACCACTCTACATATTTACTCAAATTGTCAGTCATCATTAATAAAATTCATCATTTGTATCTTGATTGGTTCAGCTATGTAGCATTGTTAAATCATATTAATACGTAATAGCCAGAAACTGTGCAAGGTGATATTAAAGGAGTAAAACTAAAAAATTTTTTATAGAATAATCTAAATAATAAAATGTTAACTCGAATCATTTTATATAGTATTCATCATAAGTCGATCTTCATCTATTACATATTAGGTATGGTTTGATCATCTGTTCAAATAACTGAACATTATTTTCAATTTATTTAGCGTTCAATAGTTTGATTTCTGATTCAGTAAGGACCTCTCATCATCATAATTGTTACGTACTTCTGAACTCGTACATAATTCAACCGAACATCCTAATGAGTATATTGAACAACATACCGGGTTTATACTACCTGGATTATTTCCTACCCTTGGACACAAAAAAATTAAGAATACAACGTGATTTACTTCTTGCTGTCACTAACTCGAATGAGTAATCCATAAGTTCGTATTGAGTAACTTAGTGTACGTTCAAGAAGTGGTCATTAACAGTGTTAGTCGAATGGGACGAAACTTCACCAATCATGTGTACATTAGAACTGTCATAGTATTTGCCTCAAAGCCCTTTCTCTATACGACTGTAGCTGAGTTTTTATAAATAAACTTTCTAACACTGATGGAATATATTCATTACAAATCAACATAAGCTCATAAAAAGTCCGACCAAGAGTTACTAAGACAACAATTCTTTTTGATAAAATTTCCATTATTACCATACATTTATTCCCTATTTATCTAGACAACTAATCCTAAATTGTGGATGAAATATTTTGGAGTCTCTAAGTACAGCAATTTTCTAATTTCTGACTAATTTACAAGCAAATAGAAACGTCAGTGATGGGAGGGGGGAATCAATTTACCGAGTCAAATCTTATCATCAATTTATTAGACTTATAAACACTGTTACAATGTGCAAGAGATAATAGAATGATTTTCATGAAACTATTATTTAAAAGTATCATTCTTAATGCACTTGAAAAATTATTAATAACTAGACTGTATTAATAAATATATTAATGGGGAAAGGATTTACAAAGTGACTACATGGTGTCTACTTCAGCTCTATTTCTGACATGTTATAGCCATGGTTTATGATAACAGTAATAATAATAAAGTATATTGCATTACGAGTTGATCTAGTTTGATAGAGTCAATCACAAAAACCGATGCCAGTGTTAAAATTATATTTGAACTAATCTTAACCATTTTAATTCCAACATTTTGTCCAGCAAACTTATTTAGACTTCTTCAGTGTAATGATCAAAATCGAAGTTATCAAAGAACATATAATGTTTAATAATTAAATCAAATCTATTCCCTCTTTATCCAATCATATTCAGATGTTAATTTTATTAAGTAGGACATGTGAATTATGCAAAAATAGATAGATGTGTAAATATATGCGTGTGTATATGTACGTTTACGTTATAACTAGTTGATATTAGTTGTTAATTTGTTTAATAGTGGAAGTCGTGAGTCGATTAAAGCTAGATAACCATGGAAAATCTGAAAGCACTGAACGGCCGTTCCGCCCTAGTACGGGATTCTTCAGCAGTGCGCATCCACGACCCGGCTCACAGGATTCGAAAACAGGACCTATCGGTCTCTCGCGCGAACACTTAACCTCTAGACCACTGAGCCGGCATTCAACACTGGTAATGTATAACTCCAACTAATCCACTAATAGTTCACACTGAAAATAAATAAATGTAGTTGATTGATTGGTAGTGTGTGTGTATATGTGTTTGAGTTATTAATAGTTGATTTTAAGTGTTAATTTATTCTTGTTAGAAGTAAGAATAAAAATGCAGATTGAAAATATCTTTTGAAACGTCGATGTGTACACTAAACGAGAATCATCAAACACATAGTTGTGATAAAATATTCTAATTAATTTCCCCCAGAACTACAGAGCATGTAGAATAAACTGGTTGGATAGATATAGGATCTAATTGCTTGTTAATCGTCGTCTTCCAAGGGTTGGGTAGTTGAATACTATATTTTATGTTTAGGATCATATTAGCCCATAAATACAACGCCTCTGCTGTCAATCTTTATGCGTGCCAAACTCTTTCTGAAGTATTTCGGTCCCTTCGAATTTGATCTTGTGTCCTGTTCGTAACTCATGGAACGATATCGCCGACCTATTCTCATGTTTCTTTAGGTTCACTGAGGATTTGGGAACATGTTCCAAACACTGTTTTTGTTCCCTCATCCCCGCATTCAATCGTCTAGATGTTTCTCCCATGTAAGCTGCATTACAATCTTGACAGTTGATCTCATAATCAACATTCTGTTGTTCTTCCTTTGGAAACCCTATCCTTAACTTTGCGGGGATCTTATGGTTTCACTAGTCCAAAAATACACTTATATTGTGTTTGTTTAGAACCTTAATTTCTTCCGATATCTCTTTACCGGATGGGGTGACCACTGTGTTCTTCCATTCTTTGTTTTTACCTTATTTCGGACGATCTTCTTTAAGAGCTCTTTAGGGTAATTATTTGCCCTAAACGTAGACAATAATATATTCAGTTCAGTTTGTTGATCTTTCACCACAGTGAGATTATAACTATTAATGAAATTTTTCACCACTGTGACCTTCGCACAACAAGCATGAGCTGAACTATAATCTAAATGTCTCTCAGAATGTGTTGATTTCATGAATACATTGAGTTTTAACTTACTGTTATGTCTTCTTTCAACTAAAAATCAAGAAACGCTAGTTTGTGGTTAGTGGACTGTACCTCCTTGCTTAACTCAATGCTGTCTGATATGTTATTTTCGTTTTCAAATGTTTCTTTTACAACATTTCGTTTAATGATGAAAAAAAAGAGTCGTCTGCATGCCTCAACCAAACTTTGGGTCGATTTACACGTTTTGTGGTCGCACTGGTTTCTAAGGGATGCATGAATAAATTCTCTACAATCAGAGAGACTGGTTAACCCGTTGCCACACCTTTCTGTCTCTATAGATACCCTCGAAATAAGAATAGGGTGGATCGTAAACAAGATTCTAAACATTTAATAACCTCGGGAGGATCTCACGGGCATCGTAACTTCAGGTGTGTCGGATTCTAAACACTCATCCAATGTTCTGTTGATTGGTACATTAAGAAATAAGGAAGAAACATCGAAACTTGCCATCAATTTATCCTCTTCCATGAGAATGGTTTCAATATTATTCTTGAATTCAGTAGATTTTTTGAGTCCACGATTAACCAATTCGTTTTATTATTTGAGTATCCTGGCCATGTGTTACGTCCTTGGTCTGTTACCCACTTTTTGTTGCTGAGGCTAACTTTTCTAATCTAGATTATGACCCTGACGCGATAGGCTGCCCGCTTAACCTTGAGGCAATTCAATGCTGGTTTAATTGCAGGTATAATATCGAAAGGTGATAATCGTGGAAATTAAGACCCTTTTTTAATAGAAGAAATTTCGTGGATATTAAGCTTTCTATTTGATAAATCAACGATCAATCTGTTATTCAATGTGCTAAATTTGTCTCCCGTTCTGTAATGTGTATTTGAGAATTTCTGAAACTTTCTAATTTATTGTTGTTTTGACTATTGATGATGTAACTGGTCTCTGTGTTTAATAAAGGAAAGGTTAATTACTAAAACCTAGTTTACTGCAGAAATTAAGTAGTGTTTATGTGGTTATAGAATCATTTTGAGAAGTTTAAAAATGATAGAAAAAAACTTGGATATCCCACCAGTCAAGTTAGAGAAAGACATAAATATGTCACTATCTTGATATCTAGGGATTTTCTCAAAGAGACTGACCTGTTTAAAGGGATTTAAGATCACTTTTAATCTTTTTGGGATTTTAAGAATAGCTATAGTAATTGCTCAACATCATTTGCTACCAAACTGTGTCATCTAAGGATTATCCGAGAAATAACGCAGTGTAAGATACTACTACTAGAATCTACCGATAAGCAGCAGTATTTGTAAGAGTTAAGTAATACTGTTGCTAAACATTTTTTATTTTATAACTGTCCAAATAATCGCAGTATTTATCAGAGGATAGTGCAAAATAGCTTTACTGTTGTTATTAAAAAATTATATTGTATAAATAGTCGTTTTGTAGTGAATGAGAACACTAGTGGGGACAATCGAATATATTTGAACACAAAATTGCAGAATCTCTTAGTAAAATCTAAGAACCATATAGAAAATACTTCATTTACAAACTGTCGATCAATCTTCTCAGATTTCACAGCAATCGTTCTTTTTTTTCGTTCTCTTTTCTTCGATCTTCTTAAACTTCTGCTGCCAGGTATTTCACTTTCGATTGATGATGCATACTACTTATGTCTATCGACATCGGTAGCACGCACTACATATATATTCAGATGGATCGATATCATTTTATTGGCGTACACTTAATTAAGTAATCGATAGCGATTAATTCTATTTATGAAAGGCCACCCACTATTTATTTACATATTTTGATTGATTATTATTGAAAAGCGAAAATAGCGTATATCGACTTCAATCACTGTTTATTTTCTACAAGTAGGTCTAATTATTGATTTTTTAAAAATAAAGTTTGATAAACAAGATATATTACTACCGATGAGTTTTCATCTTTGATTTCATGAAATTTGGGCTGCATTTTCTTAAAATGGAAATTTTTCACATTCGTAAACTTGACTGTGTTCAACGCTGATCTTCAAGTTTTATGTAGTTCGAATCCAGTTTACTAATATCTTTGTTTATTTCACTTGTTTCTCAAATTAGAACATATAATCAAGTTGTAATTCAAATTTAGGCAATATAGCTGAGAATAATTCACATACTAAAAATATTTGAAGTTTCCAAAATTTGCTCAAAATCATCGAAAATAGCAAAGATGCGTTCACTGTTTGTTTTTGCCCATTCTTCAGGTTTCTTTTTATCTACACCTAGCCTTTTCTGCTACTAACAGTTTTGTTACTACTTTAAGTGCTAGGGGATTCGTTTCGACTATACTACCTTGCTGTGTTAGGTTAGAGAATTTTGGTCGGCGGCCTATGCTCCTATGAGGAGTAACAGGTGTAAGTAAGTGCTAGTGTGATGTGACAACTTGAACTGATGCTTTGTCAGGTTCTAGATTTTATATTACTGACTAATATTTGGGGAGGTGTAACACTGATTGAGAACTGTTAGATAATAAACAACTATTTCTTCCATGTTTGGAACATTTCAAGGGTTTACTCATTTCCCCACACTGGATTTAACACATGAGTTTTGGGCCTCGTTACAAGCGGTAAATCTTCAAACCATTAAATCAGAATCCCAAGTTACTCTTCTTATTGGTAAATCTCGAATTCCTTGGTCCAATCCTAGTAAGGTGTTGTGGATGCTAACTAATGTTTAGTCCAAAATAGCAATTCAATGCTCCGTCGTTCGCTATAAAAACCAAATTCCACTCAGTCAAGCTCCACAAACTCTCCACTTTCTTATTAAATATATTTAGTGTTCAGAGTAATGTGAAAAGGGTTGAGAAATATCGGGCGTAAACAGTATAGCATCATGTAACTTATTTGTTTTTCATCTGAAATATTATCTTCTAAAGTTTATAAATTTGACTTAAATGAACCGACCAATTTTTAGTAATAGTTGAAACTCATTCTTCATATTGCTCGTTATTTTTTTAAATTTTCAGTGTCCTTATCAGTAACATTAATTATTTGTACTGAGTTTGTAAACAGTTTGCAGACTCGCTTATATGCAACTTTTGAACCGCAGACATAAATCTTAAAAGGAAAGACAATAGAGACTTCAGTTTCAGAGTTACTTTGGTTACAAAACTCATGAAATACGTATTTGGTTATCAATAACACCGTTATTTTGAAAGTTTATAAGAACAATGCCTAATTAGTTGTATTCTAGGTGTTTGAACAGTTAGATTAGAAAAAGATATTAATGGTTTTGATTCTAGATTTGGCTGAAAATTTGTTGAATGACTTGATTATAGGTATTGTGTTATGTTCCTGCTGCTCTCTCGTTAGCAGGATAAAATCCAGATGTGCTCAGTGCAAGTTCGAATCTGTTTGGTTCCTTTTAAATGAATCAGCTCTTGACAATGGATCCGGAAGCCTCTAATCTAAATTCTACAAAAAGTGAATTCGTTTTTTTTTCAGCTCATTTTTGTCAAGTGAAGCGTAGTGGTAAAGGATACTATTCAGGGAAGATTATTACACCGGGGTACTTAAAAATATATATAGATATTTTCAACAGGTATCCTCACAGCATATTGTTACAAATTCATTCCTTATAAGGTTTCTTGTAAACTAGTCTCATTTTGAAATATGCCTATGTCTAGTTGTCAGGACATGTTACGCAACTTTGATCGTATGTGTATTTAAAACCAGAATTTTACTGTCTAATAGTTACAAGTAGCGATTGAGCTACTGAGAAATAATCCCACTAATCCAATGCTCAACAGAGATACGCGAAATTCCGGAATAATTTAAATTGGAATTAAGTATAGGTTCTCAATGAAACCACCAGGTGATAGTCAAACTGTTTGCCGAATCAAACACAACCTGCAAATGTCAACTTTATTGTGTTTGGGATAAAACTTCAGTCATAATTAGTTCCTTTCTTTTTAACTAGAGAGTTAGTTACTTGTAAGTTGCTTGAAACCACGATGAATCAATTCTTCAGTTATCTCTGGCTTTTAATGATTGTCCAGATATATGAAAATAATTTGAAAAATTATCATCTTTAGATATATGAGAATAACTTAAAGTAATTATTATCCCTACCAGTTACCTATTGATTTAAAATAACTCATTAAGATTAGACTGGTGAATATATGTATAACCTAGTTTCAGCTCGACTGTAATAGTAGACGGTATTGTACATTTCTGCTTTCAAATGTTTTGTACAGTGAATATATATTTCAAGGTTTCGTTACTCATTATCACATGTTGATTTCAAAGTTTTGAAATAGAGTAACAAACATTTACTCTCATTATGCTCCATGAATTTTCCGCATTATCCTCCTAACCGACCCGTTATGACTTTATTTTTCTTTCAGATTCCACAACCAACTAGTTAACAGCCTTCATGTTTCTTCATTCAAATTCATTGACCAGAATATTTAACTCCAGTGAGGTCCTAAACATAACCTATCCTTTCATTGGTTCCTCATACTACTGCCACTGGTTGACACAAACTTTTGCATCCCATTATGAAAACCTTGGCTTTCTATTAAAACTTTATGAAGGTCTAGTATCGTCCCATTTTAAAATTAAACTGTTTACCATAAAATAACAAATAACCATTTTTAAACAATTACCAAGTATTTCACACATATCAAATACATTTATCAAGTACAAAAACATGAAACATGATACTACCATACAAAGTTAGATTAATTTTAATATAAATAATCTGAGTACTGATGACTTTTCAATAATTCATTATGCTTACGAGCTTCATAGAAAAATTGTGGAGTTTTAATTGTGTACCTTGAGAAAAAAAAGACACAAATGTCTATAAAAAAGGGCATCAAGTTAAATTATCAATTATATATTACTATTTCAACATTAAAAAGTCCGTATTTGAGCAGCGAAATCTTTATTCCCAAATAGTTCACCATCATGGTTCTGCTTACATTAATATGATAATGGCTAAGGATTTGGTGATAAAATCAATATCGATCAAGTCAGGTGTTAAACCTATTGTCAACAATCTGGATCAACGTACATACGTATTAGATCCTATGTTGTCCATGACTGAGTGTTGAATTTAAAAAAATAGCTGACAGGAGTTATAATGAATTTTCTAACTTTTGTTTGATATAATCTCCATTTTGTAGTCCTCTTTTAATGAATAAAAAACCGCTTACTTAACCAATGTCTTAATTATCAGTTATAGCCTATTTATTTAAGCATTATTGTAAAGATAAAAGTTTAATAACAGCGACTTTATTATTTTATTTGATCTGTCTTTTTATCTTTCAAAACATTTCGTTCATATACGTGTTAGGATTTGCAGAACCTTGTAACATTTTGGTTAACAAAATAACTGATTGGTTGAGTGATGAAAAAAATGTACGGAAATTTTGTGGAGTAAGACATGAAAATCACTAGACAGGTAAGATTTCCAATTCTGATTTACAGTTTAACATTATTAATTGATATGGTTTAAACTAATTTTCGTGTGTTTCTGTATTCACCCATGTTGGTGATGTTATATCTCTAGTTAGCAGGGCTGGAAAGCATCTGAATAACTAGCTTACTGGTCTTTGTTCCGTTGCAGACTAGGTAAACTTGTAATCGATTAAAACATAGCAATATAATAACCGCATCTCTGTGTGATAGATTTAATGTGTTTTTTTTTCATTTTTGTGCCTCCTAACTGATTTGTCATCACCATATAAACACACAAACGTATATGTACTCTCTTCTAGTAACAATGTACCTGAAAGTCAGGTGTGAACTTGTTAACGATTGGATGTTAACATCTCAGTGTATTAAATGTACAAAAGTATTTAATTGTTGTAATCGGTGGTCCTTAAATGTTTGCGTAATTTGCCCATAGAATTTTCAGTAGTCTCATTTTTGAGGTTAGATGCAAAATATTCTTAACTCTCTGGACAGTTTGAATGAAATTACTACTCTGATAAATTGTTGAAAACCTGGTAATGAGTAATTTATGTTTGATAGTAACTTTGTGCTCTGCAAGACAAATCAGTCACATTAAAAATTGCGAATATCACCGTCAAAATAACAACAGTTTCTCTAGACAGTAAATCAGAGAAAATAAAATGACATTCAGTGATAAACCTTTAAATTTTAAGACAAGTGATTGTTCACAAAAAATATGCGGAAGGTTTGAACATGACAGTAAATGATTGAGTACTTGCATAAACAGTTGCCTATTCCAGTGAAAAATATACCAAGAACTCTCAAATTCATTCTGGTTCAATAAATTACTTAGTCGAAAAAACGAATTGACGGTTGAATTTTTCATTGTGTCTGCCTTGGTTTCTAACATTATCTTCATCTAGGGTGGGTAAATGAAAGTCTCAAGTTGGTTTTATAGTGACTCGCAAAACACTCTAGTTTACTGTACGGATCTAGTCAGCCAGTTTATTACTGAACATTAATTGGCAATAAAAGAATTTCCCTTATTTAGGATACATACCATCTAGGTAGTGGTTTTCTTATTCTTTCCAACATGTCTAGTTTCTCTGCTTGCATTAGCATTTTCTCTTCTAATTTTAGACGTTTCAAGCGCGCTTCCAATAGATTTTGATGTACTGGGGAAATAAATAAACTATGATAATTCAACGAAGATTTCGAACTGGGATCTGAAAATTCGACAAAAATAAAAGGAATTTATAAAAAATATAAAAAATCGGGAATACTACTTTTTATCCGAGTTAGTAGTATGGTTGGAGGTCACTTAGTTTTCGAAATTCATAATTAGGTTTTATAGTTAGAGAATACAGGAGTGACTGGACTCGAAAGTGATATGAAGATTAAGAGTCAAACATAACGATCATGTCTGCGTTTTATTGACTGGTGAGTGAAGTACAAAACATGTCGACTGTAGTCAATTACGTTTTGAATTGATTTGAATTATATTTACCGTTTTTGAAATTTCTGTAACTCTTTATTGTTGATATTCAGGACTGCAAATGATCAGTTTCTGTCGCTATATGTGGGTCCTGAGAGGATTTCACTGACAGAGAGTTGTGTAACACGTTTTTATTATGTTTGGTTGCTAGCAGTAGAGTTCAGGAATCTATTTGTTCCTGCTTAGATTTGTCAGGTGTTGGTAGGAAAGGGTACTGGGTTCGAGTCTCAGTGTAAACATCAATAATAGAATGCAGGGATGTCTGCCTGATGATTCCCTTAATAGAATGAAATATGCTTCCTGAATTATATTCCTAACCATATATAAAATATACTAAAATTTGTTAAATATTTTGTTTATAAACGTATTGTTTTGCATGAGCGAAATAACTTTTATGGCTAATTTCCAGTTTTTTTATGTTAGTTCATTTTAGCATACGAAAAGTTAAGTCGGATTTCTGTTTATAAACTAAAGTCCTACCATTCTAAACAAAGATGGATGGTGTCTAGCAGTGGAATCCAGGACACACGTCTCGTCCTATTTGAGACTCGTCAGTCAAACGTACCTGAATCTCAGAGTTGATGTTCACTCCGGGATTCGAACCCATCAACGTTCGCTTCAAACACCATTGCGTTATCCACTTAGCTACTGAGTTCAGATGGTCACTAGCTTGCTCAATGTGGTAAAAGGGATAACGCGAGGACGTTTAAAGCGAATGTCACTGGGTTCGAATCCCAGAGTGAACGTCAACTCTGGGATGCAGGTGCATGCGACTGACGAATTCTAAACATGACGGGATGCGCGTCCTGTATTCCACTGTTAGACACCATCCAGCCCTGCTTATAACGCTTTTCACCTAATGGAGATGTCGATGCAATCCGTGCAGGATGCACATATGCCAATTAGAGACTGGTCAATCGGATTCCTAAAAATCAATGAGAGGATCCAAACAAACAACAAAAAAATGAGTTAAAGTCCTATCAATTTTATATTGTCTTGGTGACTTTAGTTTTTAAGATTTGGTCACGAAATATCATATTCTCTCAGCTCAATAGAAGATTTCTTTTTTCTTAGCTCCTTATATAGGCTCTGCTCATTTTATTCTGACAGCGGGTTTTCTAAGTACTTGGAACTACACAAATTATGACAATAACTTCTCCATTTCCTGAAAGATCTTATATTCACAGCTTTTTCAGTTTATCCAAATAGAATAAACGATCCCATGAATGATTGTTAAAATTGTTCCACGTCTACTACATTTTATTAATCTACCACTATGTCACTTCTAGTCTCGACTTATTCTTTATGTGAAGGTGGTATAAAGCATGTGCAATCCTTTTGTTAGATAATTGACACTGATATTTCTAGGATAAATCTAGGCTAAGAAATAGCAAGAAATAAATGAGTATAAGGCGTAAATGGATCGCCTTTGTGAGTAGTTGTTATTCAACACACCTTGTACTGGGTTTTATTTCATAACCCATATCTGTGAGCTACCCTCCAGCAGCTACGTTGCAGTGTAGTCCACCGTAAAAACTTTCGTATAGTGGTGACAGTATTCTCAGGTATACCTTGGTATCGAAGAAGGTTCCATATGGTTCTCCTATCCACGCTATCAAATGCTTTCTCACAGTCATCTTGGTCACCACCAGATCGTGATCTAAAGCTATGTCAGCTCCCCCTCTTTTTCCTTCATGTCTTCCATTGACCTTTCAAACCTTTTATTGATGCAGTTGTGATTAATGTGGTTCTCTGTGATGTGATCCGGTGAGACCCATATAACTTGTGTATGCGTTTGTGGATGAATATTGTGTCGCTTACAACCATCTTTTCAGGGCATACATATTTGCAAATCTCTCAACATTCCCATAATATATTCATACCTGGTGTTTTCCATTCCGACTATAACATCTAGGTCTCGCATCAGGATGATCAGGTCCTTTCCTGGGCACCTCTGTACGACTGACCAAAGCCTCTCATAAGATGGATCTTCATAGTCTTCGTTGCCATCATTAGTGGGTGCATAGCACTGGATAACACCCATTGTAATCCCCTACCTCTTTGTCTTGAAGAATGCTTTGGTGATTCTGGATCCATGAGACCCCCACCATATAAGTGCTTCTCTTGCTTCGTTGGACAGGATCGGTGCAACTCCTTGTGTGTGAGAAGCATTTTCTTCTTCATGAGTACAACGGTAACTCTCCTGAACCTAGTCTTTTCTGTCCAGCCGGCGTCTAGTGAGCACTGACAGGTTTTATTTTTTCGTTTTCGTAGATATTCTGTTGGTCCTCCTGGTCTCTCATATTTTGCGGGCATTCCACGTACTTATTTTGATTTTTGCTGTGGTTGTTAATAGAGAGATCAGTTTCGTGATCTTTGAGGAATCCCGGGTTTCAACATGAGGCGTCACAACTTTTCTAAATGAATACCCTCCAACTCTCAGGACAAAGTTCGAACGATTCAAGTGATGTTTTTCCTGGTTAGCGTCTTTTCAGCGAAGTTGTGTTTCTATGGGATGAGGTTTCTAACCCCATGCTTAGTCGTCCTTCTTTATATGGGCTCGGGACCGGTAGTAACCCTAGATGGGCTCCAGACGGAGATTGTACACGTTAAACAAATTTATTTTTCTTTGACACAAAAAAGGTTTGTAATCCATGTGATTATTTTTATGAATAATCCTTAACTTATCCCATTATATCATATTTTATATATATGTGACTGTTTATACCTGTATGAGTATATTATCCTTGAGCTATAATATAAATTCATGCAAAGATTTACACATTGGTTTGACTGATGAGTTGAATCCGCATACCTCTCACTATGCATTCGTTCTCTTCCTTCATTGATAGTTTGTCTAGTGAACACGTTTGCTAGGAAAAAAACATTTACTACCCAACTTCTAATGTATTATCGAATGAGTGTGTTGCACAACGGGATAGGTTTAATTAATGTATATAAAAGTAATCGATGATTTATAAAATCTGAAGATAGGTGCATTTACAAATTGGAGACCACTCTGAAAAAACATGATGCAACTTATTATAATATCCATTCATGTTACAAACGTTATGTCTTATTCATATATGCTTGAAATCCATGTCTATTAGTACCCAATTTATGCAATATGATGCCATTCACATCGAATATCATCGGTGCGTTATCTCAAATCCGATTTAAATAAACAGAGATAATTTTGTATAAAATTCTTACTGCTTGGATAATTACTGAGTAGTTTTATTTAAATCGTACATTTAACTTACTTAGATTTCCTAATAATTGTTTGACTGATGTCTTTAAATATCCTAAACTTGTTGGTGGGTTATCTTTCGGATGATAACGCCTGACTGAAGTTGTCGTTCTAGGTTGGTATAGTTCACCACTTTCATCTATTACACATTCAAAATCAGCTTTATCAACGGCTTGACGATAAACAGTTGTTGCAAGTACTGGTGCTTCTTCAGCCAGTACACATTGCCATGGATAAAAATCATCACCGGGCCGTTTAATACTGCCGAAAGCAGGTGGTGAAAATGTATAAAATCGTTTGCTGATCAACATGTTCACCACATTCATAGTATCCTCATTCAGATAAATGAAAACAATACAGAAATACTGTAAACTTCGTATGGGAATTCGAGTATTATCTTTATACGTTTATCAACAAAAACCAGATCTTAAGATGCTTATGTCTATCATCCTATACAAAATCTCAAGCAGTTGTGTCGTGTTTAAAGATCTTTACTTATAAACTTCAAAATATTCCTTGTTAGCTGAATACCTACCTATCTAGAATTAGGAACCGCAGTTGTCGCAAATTTCTAACCCATTTATAGTTAGAACTGAAAGTCCAAACCAAAAACAAAGCGAGGCAACATTCAAACCACTTGGTAAAATTCTTAAATTTAAGTAACTCTGTTTTGAACATCACTGATTTTGATTTCAGAGACTCTCATTCACAATTCTGGTTTATATGAAATGTAGAGAACATCGAAATCCACCGGTGATATTTGTTCCACTTTTAAAATGATTATTGTTTTTCACTAGAACTTTAGAAATTCTCTTCAAAGTTATTCACTAGTGAGCACACATAAGTTAGTAGGACGCAACATGTTTCGAGGTTGTCTAAGGTAAAAACAGTTTTAACAATCAGCGCCTCCTGGCCTTCAATAGTTTTCCTGCTGAAATCAGTAACGAAAATTGGCCACCTTAATTATATATTTGTATTTTGTGATTTTATGTTTGATGTATTCATTTATCATTTTCTCTTAGATCTTGAGTTTCAAAATCTACTTACACCTATTTTCCTATAACGAACCGTCTCTACTACCATTACTGAGACTACAGATATTGCTCTGGCGTTCACCTTAACGACTCCACTTAGTTGTGATAATGAGGAGAGATTGGACGTTGAGTATAAGTGATTGACTTACCTGTGTCATCCGGAATCTCATGAAGGCCACCATTTACTCCCAAGATTGGATCTATATCTCGTTAAAAAGTACAAACTATATGTAAACCTGGTTGCAGATTTTCTCTCCGATTATAACCAACCACTCAAATTTCTGACAAATATTCTAAATTTTGATCCGAGCAGTAAACATTTAAATTTAACAGTAAGTTACTTTGTCACGCTATGTTTCTTTCTTTGGAATATCGAACTTCAAAATATTTAAGGAAGAACTGTAAAAACTAACCGTACTTGATACACACTAAATTTAGGTTAAAAATCATTTACAATAATATATTGGCGAAAGGGGGATAATGTTATAGATGAGTTAGGATAATTTCATTCTGACTTATAGTATTATGAATACACATCTGAACTTAGTTCGCCTAATTGGTTCTATGAATCCGATAATTGCCGTTAATGTACGTAGGAAAAGTCTAGTTTATTGAGGAAAAAAGTGGACTCCGAATCATACTACAACCTTGATAAATTATCACAATGAATGATATTCAAATATTCTGTACAAACAGTAATAAAAAGGAAACAACAAAACCTGAGCATCCTAAATTTATTCAAAAAACAAGAAAAATACTTTTTGAGATAAAACTGATAATTCACATATACAACCATTTTATTAATTTTATATAATTTATCCTATGGCTTGTTAAATATCATTTTCAATGATGAAAATTCTTGAAAATAAAAATGAGTAATTCTTGAAATTTTCACAGATTGAGATCATGAGTCAGTTGAAGCTACTAGGACGAAACGGCCGTCCAGTGCTTCCAGGTTTTCAATGGTGGTCTAGCTTCAACTGACTCATGATTTCAATCTGTGAAAATTTCTAAAAATCTCCACAAACCCCTTCTGATAATAATCATCTGCTCACTAGTGACTGACTTCAGGAAAAACTCCTGGAGTTCTAGTGGGAAGCCGTTACCAGTGGAGTACAACCAGGTCTGTTGTGAGATATCAGCTCACTGAAGACAATGGTATATGGTGGCGCAACTTCGTGGATTGGTTGAAGTTAGACATTAACACCGTTGGATGCCGGCTCAGTGGTCTAATGGTTAAGTGCTCGCGCGCGAAGCCAGCAGGTCCTGGGTTCGAGCCCCGCGTGGTGCGGGATCGTGGATGCGCACTGCTGATGTGTCCCATACTAGGACGAAACGGCCGTCCAGTGCTTCCAGGTTTTCAATGGTGGTCTAGCTTCAACTGACTCATGATTTCAATCTGTGAAAATTTCTAAAAATCTCCACAAACCCCTTCTGATAATTCTTGAACTGTCACTTATGATTAATTTGTTAGCACAATTCTGTGACCAGATCCAAACTTTAGTGCTCAGATTTTAGTCAGGCTTTATTATTCCAAGACTGTTGATGCTAACACACTACTTTGTCAGTTGAAATTCGAGTGCTCTCATAACAAGCTACCTTCTTAACAAACTTTAGAAAAATTGAGGTGGAAAAGGTTTGATGTTTTACTGACTAAACTCCCAGTTTTAGTTGTAAAAAGATGTTGGATTTTGGAACACAGTAAACTGAGTTATACTTCATTCTACTTTCAATATTTTATAATAGTCAGTAATAAGTTCTGTAAGAATTTCCAGGCTCTTTAATATATTTTGGAAAGAGGCTTGTGATGTTGATGGAGTCACTGTTTCCCCAAGGCATTATATCACATTTTGCGCTCTCGATATAAAGTTTCATATCAATCATATGGTCAACATTACTCGGCTGTGTACGCAGTTAAATGAGAAAATAAGTTTGCACTACACTTTAGTGACATAGAAATACCGGATAAATTTAAAAATTTAGTTACTCGATAATAGCAGGACACTCAGTGGCTAACTTAATGTGCGGGTGATTATTTTGAATAAAACTTTATGCTTCCCCTGGGTTTTTTTGAAATTTGCGTCCAGCTGAAACCACATAATATTCTAACAAACCCTCATTTACATTCTTCATCTTATTGTTTCAGCAGTTCAGCTACATTAATCATTAGTTTCGATCTGGTGCATAGTAAGAAGATATTCAGTCAAAACGTTCTAAGGTTTAAGTACGTTAGGTGAATATTGAAATTACATTAAAAAAGCGATGAACAATTATATTATATTAGTAGGTCTTATAACATTGAAATATTTGGTAGAAAAACTAAGCAATCAAAATTTTGATGTAAAATCCCTTGTACCAAATGGACAATTCCTATGAACCCGGATCATTTCAAAGAGTGCTGAAAACTGGAAACTTTAGAACACTCCCGTATTATGGCTTCTGAACTCATATGAAGCCCCCAAATGCCCTGCTACGGCCGAGAGTAGGGAGAGTCCGCTCCCTCTCTCGAAATACTCTCACATGGCCACGCGCATACAGCCTCTGCCAGGGAAGTCCTACTCACTGCCTTTTCGTGGCAGGGGTGTTGTTTACGAAAATGAGAGGACGAAAAGCGAATGTCCGGCGCTTTAACCGGATTCCAAACCAATGGTGCACATGGGCTCCAGTATCCTGTGGGAACAAATGGCGTATGAACCAATCGTTGGTCACCGGCTACCATGGGACTGCATCTCCTTACGATGCTCCACTGCCTTGTGGGTTAGACCTTTAGGTCAAAGGCTCGGGGAGTGGCCCCCTAAGATAACCACCTGCTTCGGTTTGGGCACCCGGGCAGTATCACAGCCCACACACAAATGATGAACTCTCTATGTCTATGGAAATTAATTTTCTCGCTTCGAAAAACAATCAATTGATTCAAATTATTATCATTACAATTATTGTCATTATTATTATTATTATTATTATTATTATTATTATTATTATTATTATTATTTTTTCCACATTATTCACCCTCTTTTATACTTATACAGCGGCTCGTCTTTGGTGGAAATTCGACTGTATCTAAACGTTCTCGAGTCACTGTCCGGTTGAAAATTGTATGTTACCACCGAATACGAGTACTGAAGCAGTTTTTCTGAAACCACGTGCACCATTCAAACTGGCTGCCTTCAACGTTCGCACATTTATGCAGGTCGGACAACAGATAGGGCTGGCTATGTCTTTGGAAAGTCTTAATATCGATGTTGTTGTCTATCCGAGACCCGTATTCAAGACTCTGGCGAAGTACTACAAATTCGATCTCCATCTGTCGCTTCGAAAAGCTTGTTTTACGTGCGCTTATCCGGGGACCCTGTGGCATCTTCGTCTGGTCTTGCTGGCGTTGGTGTCGCACTAAGCGCTAGAGCTGAGGCAGCACTAGTCGATTGGATCCCCATTAACAGTCGGTTATGTGCTGTTAGATTAGAAAGTTCCATCAAAGTGAGAAGAAATCGGCGTGAGAAACGATGTCTTTTCGTCATCTCCGCCTATGCCCCGACAGATTGCAAGGATGAATTTTACCACCAGTTAACTGTTCTTCTCCAGAAAGTGCGTTCGACAGATATTGTAGTACTAGCCGGAGACTTGAATGCTCAGGTCGGGCGTCTAGGCACAGAAGAGAGTCGTTTAGGTGGCCGATGGGGACTTGTTGGTCGCAGGTCAGATAACGGGGACCGTCTACTGCAACTGTGCACAGACCACAACCTGTTTCTGGCTAGCACTAACTTTCGGCACAGTCATCGCCGATGTGCCACCTGGCGTCCTCCCTCTGCATCTCAAGCCTGGACTCAGATTGATCACATCGCGATCAGCTACCGCTGGCGTGGTTGTGTACAAGACTGCCGCTCCTTTTGGAGTACCTATCTGGACTCTGACCATGCCTTGGTCTGCGCCAATCTTACCTTACTTTTCAGTGGCCAACGAAGTGACCCACCAAAGGATTGATGTTAGCAAGCTGGTTGCAACTTCTGTTGCAAGTAAGTATCGAACCGAGCTAGCCTCTAGGCTAGCTACCACTCCACCGAAAAGTATAGATGAGCATTGGTTGCAATTGCATGACGCCATGAAAATGGCGGGTAAAGTCAGTTGTGGGTTTGCGAAACGTCCCGCTTATAAGCACTGGGTTTCTTCAGGTTCCTTACAACTCATTGAAGCCCGTCGGTCTACTCCGGGTGACCGTGAGTTTGACCACAAACGAAGGATGTTACGTAAGGAAATCGGGCAAAGCTTGCGTAAGGACCGAGAAGCCTGGTGGTCGGAGCGTGCTAATGAGCTGGAAGCAGCAGCTGCATCTGGTAACTACCGGAAGCTCTTCCAACTCATCCGAGCCACTGGCAGCAAGAAGTCTGGTGTGAGTGAAACAATCTGCGAGGATGACGGGATGCCAATCACTAACATCCATCGACGTCTTGGACGATGGGTAGAATTCTTCGAAGGGTAGTTCAACTGGCCTGCTTCTCCGGCAACATCGGTCAGACTGTCCTGCCCTCCATGCCCGCCGATGGCTGATCCACCAAATGAGGCGGAAGTCCGCAAGGAACTCCAACTCTTGAAGCGCTACAAATCACTGAGCCCAGATGACTTACCTCCGGCTCTTTTTAAAGATGGTGGTGACTTTCTGGCTAAGGAACTGACAACGTTGTCTACAAGTCTACTTCCGATTGCGTCCAAGCTATTGGCTTCCGTCATACTTCGTAAGTTGTTCAAAACCCGAGAAAGATTGACTCGTGAGGAACAGGCTGGTTCCCGTCCTAATCGAGGATGTATTGATCATATCTTCACCCTCCGCCAAATGTTAGAACACCATCATACTTCTCAAAGGCCAACAATCGTAGTGTTTCTTGACATCAGGGCTGCCTTCGATTCGTTGGACAGGACTGTTCTCTGGGATTGTCTATCGAAGAAGAGTGTGCCTGAGAAGTTTATTAACATCTTAAAGGCCTCATATACAAACACCTCAGGTAGAGTGAGGGCATACAACCACCTTTCTCCATTGTTCCATTCAATCAGTGGGGTTAGACAGCGTTGCCCAATCTCACCATTACTCTTCAATTTTGCCGTCGATGACATTCTGGAAACAGCTCTGATGAATGTAAGTAATGGTAGTATGGATCTGTCGCCTGGAGAAAGACTTCTCGACCTTGAGTACGCGGATGATATTGTCTTACTGTGCGATAATGCCCAAGCCTTGCAATCCGCACTTAATCAGTTGGCAATCAGTGTCCGTAAGTATGGTATGTGCTTTGCGCCTTCGAAGTGCAAAGTACTTTTACAAGACTGGAAGGACCCTGATTCTGTACTCACCCTGAATGGTGAGCAGATAGAAGTAGTCGAGAAGTTCGTGTATCTAGGTAGCTGCATAAGTGTTGGTGGGGGTGTGAGTGATGAGATTAATGCACGTATAGTGAAAGCCAGAACGGCTTATGCTAATCTGGGTCATCTTTGGCGCCTTCGTGATGTTAGTCTGTCTGTAAAAGGTCGGATCTACAACGCGTCCGTGAGAGTAGTTTTTCTCTGTGCTTGTGAAACCTGGCTTCTCCGAGTTGAGGATGTTAGACGATTCTCTGTGTTTGGTCATCGTTGTTTCCGAAGGATTGCAGACAACCAGTGGCAACACCATGTCAGTTATGCAGAGGATCGACATCGTGTTTTCGGGCACAGAGATGATAATGCAATCGATGTCACCATCTTGAAACACCGACTTTAGTGTCTTGGACATGTTCTACGAATGTCGTCTCAGAGAATTCCACGTCGTGCATTATTTGCCGACGCCGGGACTGGTTGGAAAATGCGGAGAGGTGGTCAGTGCATGACATGGTGTTGTGGCATGAAAGAAAGCTGCAAAGGACTGGCTTTTGTCGATCCTTCACGACTCCCTGATTGGGGTCCGAGAGATGGTGCAACATAGTGGCTACAGACGTTATCATATATGGCTCAGAATAGAAGCCAGTGGCGATCCTGCTGTAACCTTCTTTTACTTTCTTCATAAAAAGTGGTTATATTTTCCTTAACTGAAAGATTTCTTCTGATTGCACCTTTCCGTTCCCTCATTATTACTATTATTATTACGACACTACCTTACACCAATCTCTTCGTTATTGTTCTTTTTTTTTACGCTCCTTACCTTTTTTTCTTTCTCTTTGAATTCTCATTGTTTTGTGTGGCGCATATATATTGGCGCTCTCTTGTACCAATATTTATGTGTTCAAATAAATAAATAAGTAAATAATGAAGCCAAACTTTTAAACCTTCTGTATGTTTTATACAATTGACCTCTAAAAATAATGTACTCATAAAATATCAAACAATACGGAAGAAAATCACGATTCAAACGTTACTTTTGTCTCTCAAGCAATATTCCTGAATGTCGAGGTATAAATAACATTTAAAACTTTGTTTCAAGTGACGTGTAATTAAACATTAATATACTTACTTCTGTCATATTACCCAAAGTGACGGGATAATAAATTTCTTGTAGAGTGTTACTTCTGTCACTTTTTGGTGGACGTAGATGCCCAGAAGAAGCGGACCAATTATCTAGAATCCTTGACAAGTATTCGACATTATTTAGGTCATTCATGATAACTTCTAAATTGCCAAACAGAATTAACAATAGCAGTAATGTAAATGTCATTTTCTATAAAGTATTACTGTAAGCAAATTTACAGTCTATTGGTTTTAATTAGCTGTTTGAATGTTATTCGCCACAGAAGTCACCACGGAGGCTTTCTTTATATTTTGGATAACTGCTTAGTCGGTTTTTGTGCGTGTCTGAGAGATTTTCCTCCGAAATATATGAAATTTTTTCTTCCAAAAATAGTCAACTAACGTATTTTTCAGATGGACGTAGAATTTATTTATTGTATATGAACACGAGGTTAGTATAGCTGTTCGACGGAGATTGTTAAATTTTCGTAGTATACATCACGGACTAACCTTAGTTAGATTAACATCTGAAAATAGAAAGCACTGATCGAATGCTTCGTTCCAGTGCGGGACTCTTTAGTAGAGCTCATCCGTTGCCCACAAGTAATAAATGATGGTCACATAATATATCAAATTGACCAAAATTAGACATATGTGCTATTATCATTACCATTATCATTTTTAAGTTTAGAGTGAGCTTTTCAAGTGACTTAGTTTGAGTAACTTCTTGTACTGATGATCTTAAGCGTACTCTTATTTATTTTATGATGTCCGTCCTAGATCTCACTCAACCCAACTATTTTGACTTAACTGGATTAGCAAGGTAGTACTACCGTGAGATTGTTAAATAGCAAACCCATACTGTCCAGTCTTGAAACTAAAACAGGGGATTAGATTATAGTAAATGGAGGAACGCAATAAATTTTATTATCTGTCTCGCAGGAATCTAGGTGTAAAAGTGAGTCACAATGTTTAGACCAAGATTAGCTGTCGCGTGGTCCTAGCTAAAGAGCTCCGACTTCTATGTGGGTAAGACAGTCGTTTACCAAGTTGGAGAGAAGTGTGTTCACCATGAGAAACGAAACCTTGGTGAGATTCTAAAGTAAAATATATGTTTGAACAGCAAACTCATGTTCAGTAAGTGACTTAGATGTCTTGATGAAGTATAGAGGACAGCTTAATGTTCAGTTTTGGAGTTTTGTTGATTACTATATACACTGTGTCTTAAGAATTTATATCCTTCTACTCTGCTTCACTACAAAATGAAAAACCATCCAACATTGACAGTCAGGTCACTAAGCGTTAATTTTGGATCAGATATATCTTTTGCTTTTCTTTCATCCAGGTCAGAATAGGTTGATTAATTTAGAAAATGGCCTTGAAGGCCAAAAACGAAAAATCAGTGACACACACATTTTTAACAAGAAACAAACTACTCAAACTTACTTCTGTAAATACTGAATAAGTAAACAATTCAGCGAGATGATAATATACGGACGAGCCAATCAGATCTAAGATTGAAAGATTTCTTCGTGAAATTCATCCACCCACATGCCAGGTCGCATTTTGACATTACAACTTAATTCAGTTCGTAATGAATACTGTGACCGCAGTTCCTAACCCTTACATCAAACGATAAATCCCAATCCTAATTCCTTATAATAATTTGCAAACCTAATGTCACTCTTACAAGTAAGTGAAAGTTTTCAACATCGCTTAAGTATTACTCAAAATTCGTCCATAAATTGTGGTCACATTAACAACTCATATAGATAGATCATATCGAGCACGATGATTAAACCCTAATTATTACGGAGAACCTACTTAGCCCTCAAATTTGTAGGCGGTCATAACTACATTTTCGCTCCTAATCTCCGAAGTACTTGAGTCCATAAAATTCTCATGCGTTTGAACAAAAATTACGTTTTTTTCTAGACCACCCGAAATTTTATACCTGATCAATTGGTAACTCATCAGTGAGTGTCAACAAATATTTTTAAAGGGAAAAACGAAATACATTCACGCATCAGCGCATGGAAATGGTTAACTGATTTAATGTTTCACAATGACGAGCGCAGCTATAAGTAAGTGGGAAGTTGAGACAACAGTTGATGAGGTTAATTTTCAAAAAGAAAGAGAAGCCATAATTCTGTATTTAAGAAGAGGTCGCATCATTTTAAACAATGCAAATTCAGTAAAATTGACTCCAGTTTTCATACATATGTAGAAATATTTTGAAATGTATGTATGCTTTAGTAAGTACTATTATTCAGATCTAGTTACTTATGAGACGTAAATATTACCGCCAAAATTCTAATTACACTATCATTTATGACTGGCACGTCATTAAACGATCACATTATCATAGTACGTATCAAGAATTCTTGATATAAGCTCTTTCACATTCTTCATACACGCACTAACCCGTATTATAGGCAGATACTGATTCCGACGGCTACGATGTTAAGATCAAAGGCAGAAAGTAGATCATATACAATGTGGAAGTAACACAGATTTGAAAATAATAACCTAAAAATCGACGTACGAAATTGATTGTTTGCGCGTTATTCACTTGGTTCTTCATACATTAAAACATTTAAACTCAACGTTTAATATACTGTTTTGTTCCAAAACCAACAAAATATAAATTAATAAATAGTAATAAAACTCATATGAAAAGTATTTTTGTGTATTCTGAAAACACATCATTGTCCAGTAGTTCCGCCACTGGCTTGCATAAATCTATTTATTTCTTTGCACTAGCTTCTTTTTGCTTCGGTACGGTTCCAAGTATTTGCTACTGTCCAATGAGTATTAGATTAGCCACTTAATTGCACTGATTCCAATCTGTCCGGTGGATATTTGTGAATTCTTTTATCTTGTGCATTCGTCTCGAACCATTAGGATTTCTAGATACCAACAGCCATCCTGTTATCAGGTAGAAGGTTAATTTATTGTAATGTGAAAATTATATAGTTGGTTGTTATGTGGAGGATAATAAGAGTAAAACGGTAGGTCCCAGAAAATCAAGTTGGAGATAATCGCCAACGAAGAACAGAGAAAATTTTTACTTCATTGTGGAGCGATGTAAACGGACATGATATTAAAAATAACAGGTGAATAAGGATTATATGAAACGATATTGCAGCAACTGATCAGGAAATTCATGTATTGTTTTCAATATATTTAGTCTCATTGTTGACATATGCGAAATGTAAATCTGCGTGACGATTATATCACATAATGGGATTTTATAAATGATTTCTTGTAGAGATATTTCAATTAGTCGCAGTAAGATGTATAGTAATAGCCTTTGGTTGATAATTTAAGTAGTGTAAATATCTTGTGTTTAGGCATATAAGAAAATCAATAATTTATCAGTTCTGATTTCGATATTATTTTCAGTTTGAATTTGAGAGTTAGTTGACATTTATGCCGGTATACTGTCCATATGGGTTGATTTCTACTTGCCTTTGCATTAATATGATAACTGAAGAAACAAAAGTATAACCGTGGAGAGGAAGAATTTCAACTATTGTTCCAGTTAGTTTGCCGAAGTTAATACGGTTTGTCCAATTGCGGGGATATTTTCTAAACCTCATAATTATTTTACCGTGATAGGATTCAATAAAACTACTAATAAAAATGAATTTTTTTATTACGAATTTATTTAGTACAAGAATATACTTATATTCATGTGAAAATAGGATAGTTAGCTGACGGTAGTTCATCATATATTAATGGGTCGAAGACAGATATATTCAGTTTAAAATAAGGCAGAAAACGACTTATTTGAAATAAAGTTATTAAGTATTGCTGAAATCGACGAAGCCTATGTGCCACAAATATAAGTAACATGGTTGTGTACGGTGTTTTTGACCAAATAAATTTTTACAAGATGATAAACAGTGAGTGCTGCTCGTGTGATTATTAAGGAGGAAATAGGTTGTAACCAAGGTGAGTACAACTTCCAACTCATGTCAGTGATAATAGTATGAACGTTTGTCAGCGTTGGGGTAAATTCGACAGTTTTTTTCAGTTTGCAGGAGATTCGCTCGGCTGAATGTATTACTTAGTCCGATACATGATTGTGTCGCTAAACCTCCATCTAGACTGACAAAGTTTTAAGATGTTTACTGAATAAGCAAGTGATAGAGAAACATATTGATCATAGATAAAAATAACCACCAGAAAACAACACTATTTAATGATAATTACAAGTCAGTCTGTCGACCGATATCATTAATAATGGCTTTATTTAATATTATACTTCTGGTGCAATGTGGAATTCTCGGCACAATGTATTTCAGCAAATTTACTTTTCTTATTTCCCGATCGATCCTTGTGATACATATTGAGTGATCGCCAGTTAGATATTGGCAGTTCAGAAATCGACATTTAACTAATGTTCACCCTTTTCGATGCACGTTGCCAGCAACCACGATGTCTCCGGTTGGGCCCCTTCTGTAATTTGTACAGCGAAATGTAGTAAACTCATCACAAACGCTCTTGAATAGGCTATGCGACGAATGTCTTAAGCAAACAAAAAACAGACTTGTTAAAATATCCAGATGGCAGGAACAGGTAGTTCAGATATTCAAACAGGCCGCTTAGAATTGCTAATAGTTTCATCAATTTTATCGATCATATTACGTAATAGTCAAATCATGACATTGATTTATGACGATATCCAGAAACCATAATGAATAACTATTTGGGGCGTCAATTCAGCAACACTATACGTCCGTGGCACTAACAGATCCGAGCTGCCCCATTAAATTATAAACTACCACCTAGAAATATTCGTCTACTTAGATTTAATTTTAATGGTAGACTCCAGAGTTTGTTTTGAATGCTTATTTGACTAGCAATTACGTGATACTTTAGTCATTATATTAGTGTAGTACGATATTATCTTAATGCAGTGACTTTATCATCTGAAATAATATAGTAGAGATATTCATAAACCCAATAACGACTATGATGGGATTAGTGGGAAGTGTTAAAGACGGTTCGAACAAATGTTAAATTCAGATGGCATCGAAATGATATAATGCGAAGTACGTATAGGGCAGGTTGACGTGTAATTTGGTGTAAAACACAACTGTTAAAAAGAATAAACTTGGACAAAAGTGAAATCCGAATGCTGAAACCACCTATGGAACTACAGTTTAGGACGACAGGTATTACATAGAATTCCTACAAGTGGTTGCTGTAGATAGCCTTGTAACCCCATGGCTGTAACGTCTATAAGAACTATATAGCGTCAAAATGCTGTTCAATGTAATATAGTTTTCCTGAAAACGATACACCCATAGTAGTATGTTGTCACTTAAGACTACTAATTACATCTTATACCAAAATTGGCCTCAGAAGTGGTTCATATAAAGCATATACGGCCAGTCTAAACAAAATTCTATACATGTTAAGGGGAACTAAAAGCAGTAAATTGTCCAGAAAACTGGTGAAACTCGCTTGAATTTAGATCATCCAATAACTTCTACTTATATAAAACCCACTATTACATAGTATAGATTGAGGACACAGATTAAACACACAGTATTGCAAATAATTCCAAGGTACCTTAACGATAGACCTAATTCTAAAATTGTAGATTTGTCATGATGTGACTACCTAATCTGTGAGATCTTGGGCGGATGTCACATCATTGTCCATTCTGATTCGTCGTATCGTAATAGTCAGCAGCGTAATCTTCAGCGTATATAAAGGACACAATTAGACTGTTTAATAGCTCTGTAGTTTTCGACCAGGTTTTTCGGTCGGGATTTGTGTTAGGGAAGAACATACGTTACCTGTAGGATCCAAACTACGGTTTTGATGTTGAAGAATAGCCTTCCGTGACTTTAGACACGTGCCCTTGCCGTCAAAATCAAAACAAGTAATCGGGTAAATAGCGGTTCTATAATTCATTATAAATTTATATGTAAATCGTTACCTAAACAAATATTACCACCCGGCTATTCAACCAATAATTGTTCAATCAATCAAATCTAAATTACAATAAATAAAGAAGTTGATAAAAGATGAGGAAAAGTTACCAGTCACAAAAAATGAACGTTATTCTGTTCTGACTGGATAGAACACGCAGAAAAGGAGTAGAAAATCAATATGGCTGCCACCAAGAACAAGTATAAAGTAAAACAACATAGATGCAGTTCGGGAAGAAACACACAACTTAGTGAAGGCGTAAGAAAAACAAAAACTACAATGAAAAATACAAATATTAACAATTCAAATGCGATCAAAAAACTAACAATGTACAACTAAGGGGATCAATAGGGACAAAGTGCACGTGTATACATGGAGGGATTTTCACACACACCAAACATTCAAAACGGATCTTACACCTTGTTCATCATTGTTAACCTACTTTCATTGTTACACGTTGAAAGTGAAACTTCTCAGCAACTATATGTTCAGTTTCGAAGACCGTGTGGTTACGGACCAACACCACTACATGCTCGTGTTTTCGCCGTTGCCTTGGCTGAAAAATATTCCCTGCCGCTTCGAACGTTGGCGCTGCATCTGTTCCCTAATGCAAATTCATGGCTGCTGTAGTGATTGAAGAACACAGGTGGAGAAGGACAATTTATTAATTAATGCAAAATTACAGAGTGCCTTCGTAAAATATGAAAACTATGCATCAAATACACTATTTGCACGTCATCCTTCAGTTGTTCTTGAAATTCCGTTTTGATTACAACTACTTTCTGTTTCCATTTCAGTTCTCTTCAATTCGATCAAATCAATATTCTACCATCAGGCATTCTACTTCTGATTGCTGTGACATACCACTTATATCTTTCGAAATGAGTAGTATGCGCCTGTTGTGCTTCCTAACAAGCTACTCCACGACGATTGAACATTGAATAAAATCAAGGAATTTGGTGTTGCGTCATTGTCCTCTTATTTTACTGTTTTGTGAGCTATTATTTGGCCTTTTCCCTTTCCAATGTTCATCCACTGCTCTGTAGTGTTAACAAATACCGCGGCTTTTGCAACGGACTGTGGTTTTTTTTCTTGTGAGAAATCCGAGTCGCTCTCATGATCGCGTGTATAGTTTAGCCTGTGCTTGACGATTTGGACATGCTGGAAGGAATTGACAGGCTTGCTTCAAACAAGTTCTTATACTCTCCTTTATTAGTTCCATCTCGTTAATTTTTCTGCGGTCGGTAAATGTACGAGAACCATGGACAAATTCACAGAAATATAAACGCAATTCATTATCACAGCGACAACAAAATTGAAGTGAAGACTAGCTGGCATTAATGGGTGACAGGCGGCTGCTACTAAAAGCAACTCAATTTCGTAAATGTGGCCTTAAGCTTAGCAACCAATCAGAATGAGGCGGGACTTATTATGTCCGTCATTTTTGTAGGCACTGGCGATCGGCTTTCTTCGTTCTATGCTTTGTTCAGCTATTTCTTTTGTGTAGCTACAGAATTTATGTTTCAGTGTGATAAAATGCAGAAGTGAATGTAATACCCCGAATGTTGGAGCAAAATCTTTCCTCATTTTGCTT